CTGGTCATGGAGAAATACATCCAGAGGCTGCACACTGAGGTGAGGCCAAGAGCCCAGTGCTCACACCTGCCCCGTGTGCCTTCCTCCACCCTCTCATTCATTTCATCTGTCCCTTTAGCCATTCGAACCTACCACATCTAGGATGGAAGCACAGCTGTCCTAGTGTGCAAGGCAGAACTCACAAGCCGGGCATCTAGTGTGTTAAGTGACGAGCGCCATGGAAAAGAGGGCCCAGGGGAGGGGAAGGCCTGGTGGGGCTGGGTGGACCTCATCAAGAAGGTGACTTTAAATAGAGACTTGAAGGTAGGTCAGGGTGGCCACATGCACATCTGGGGAAGAGTGCCCAAGTCTGAGGGAGCAACTGTGCAAGGAGGGGCATGGCTGAGGGCAGAAGGGTCACTGAGAGGGAGCAGGTCGCGTGGGGCTCTGTAGGGGTTATTTCTGAGAGAGGAGTATATAGGTGATGACTTAGGCTTCAGATCACTCTGGCTGTTGTTTGGAAAATAGACTTCACGGGGAACAGCAGAAGCCGCTCCCACGGCCTCTCTGCTAGGTGTGTCTTGGCAGATAGATGTGTTTCTTGGGGAGACACCAAGGAGAGTGAACCTCCAGTAAGTGAAGGGGTTTCGAAACACCAGTGAGGATGTATTCTTAAGCAGAAGTTTTGTTCTTTGTTATTTTGTGGCTTGTTTTAGAGAGAAGGTGCTCACAGACTGTGAGCCACGGTCTCCCACCCACTTGGTTTTGCACATTTGACATGTCAGGATGCCTGATGGTGATGCTGAGCCTCCGTGTGGCCAGCCAGGTAGCTGGGGTTGCATCGTGCACCGCGAATGCTCCGAATCTCATTTGATCAGAACTCCACTGGCTGCTTGGGACGTCTCTGAAATGCCTGAAGGTTGGCGGTGTCTAGGAAGTAAACTATGGCTTTTTGAATTAAGAATCAGCTTGCCAAGGCTTGTGTGTTCCAGCCCCTGGAAGACACAGTCTCAGAGACATGTCAGGATGTGGCTCTGTGATCCCGCAGGAAGGAGAGCTGTCCTCCAGGCAGCCTACGTAGAGTTGGCCCTAAAACAGCGCTGCTCCCTGGCCTCCCTGGAATCGCCTTTATCCACTCTGGACTCTAAAATGCAACCTATGGCCATTGCACACTGGTTTGAAAAATAAAACTATTTACCAGAGCAAAAGTTCTACAGAAACTCTCACCACTTTGGAGTGTCCCCTCTCCAGCTGTTCTCTCTTGGCGTCTTGGGGCCCCTTCCCAGCACAGCTGATGCAGGTACCTTTCCCAGAGGGAAACTTTGCCATGATGTTCATCCCATTCTTGCAGGTCTACGGGCTGCTGGACACACTGGTGACCGACCTGATGGTCCTGGCTGATGAACTCAGCCCCATTACAAATGTGGAAGAGCCTTTGGGTCTTTGCACCTGACTTGTGCACAAGCAGCCTTGTGGGAAACAAGTTAACAAATAGATCAATAAAGAATGTTTATGTTGCTACCACTTCTGTTATGTCTCTGTGTCTTGCATGTTGGATCTCAAAGAGGGCATTCATGGTCCTCCCATGTCCCACCTGCCCTCCCGATTCCTCTCCTCCCAGCCCCTAGAGCCATCCAACAGGACAGATACCTGGGGAGGTGACGGATGGGATGATGAGCAGAGCAAGTGGGTAACAGGGCAAGGAATGAAGCAGATGACAGTACAGAGTGCCACCCCTCTCTGTCCCTGCCTCTAGCCTTCCTTGGCCCACACTTTTGGGGTCACACTTCCTGGAGCCAGGTCTTCCTTGTGTCATCACCAAGTATGACAAAGTGTGAGACTAGGAGCACTAGATGCCATGAGGCCTGGCTCCCCCAAATCCTCCCACTTAAGATGGGTCTGTTAGGGGGACAAGGATGTCCTAAAGCTAATTCCATACAGGCTTTGTGGACTCCACCCCCACCCCAGGCCAAAGCCAAAGACACTGGGAATTCCAAATCCCATCACCACCAAAGGGAAGGTGGCTGGGACCTGAGGGTGGGATTAAGCAGCCAGGTGGATATAAAAGCCAGACACGTGGGCTTTGGGGGTCCCCCATTTTGGCTCTCCGCCAGCTCACAGCATCCGGCCAGCCCTGAGAGTGCCTTTGGGTTTCCAGGTCAGCGGATCAGGTAGGATGCATTAAAGACTTTATTTCCCTATTTTCTCCCTGAGTTGTACATTTTCCTTATTTCCATTTCCCTTGTAAATAAACCTTTTATTAACCTTTTGTGTGTGCCTGCAGTGGAGTATTCATAAGTCCCTTGTAAGCGTGTGGGTGAGGACCCAAAGCCAGGCAACCCATTCAATATTGGGGCTGCTCTATAACAGGTCCAAGCCCCTCAGAGTGGTGCTCACCACACTCTTAGACCCTAGCAGCTAGATCCTGTTGTTCTGGCCAGAGATGATTAGACTGGAGTCTAGTGGCTCTTACTCCCTCCCTTGTCAAGCCAGCTGACTTCCTTGAGCCATTTTTCTGCCTTCAAAACAGCCTCTGGTCTTTATGCTCCCTCCCTGGCCCTGAGGAACACCAAGTGGGCAAGGGATGGCTCTTGGAAAGAAAAGTGCTGTCAGCTCAAACTCGGCACCATCACTGCTTCCCATCAGGAATCATGATTCCAGGCCACGCTGTTAGAAGAACTGCTTTGCAAACATTGGTGGGCTCATGCCTTAAGCGCTGACGGAGCAGAGGTGTGGGCGGGGGTGGGGGGTGAGCACAGTCTCTCACCCATTTGGCTTTACACTTGGTGTATTGATAGGAACCCCTGGGGCCCCAAGCATCCTCCAATTGTGATCTGGAAGGAGGCTTGGAGGAGGTGGGGGAGGGGCAGAGAGTTCTGGGCCAGGAGCCCCTGGCTCAGGGGGCCTGACAGGGTAGTAACCACCTAAGCGCCAGCCCCAGGGAATAGTCCTCCTGGCCCCCGGAGGAAGGGTAGGTGAGGTGGGTGTTGGTGCCCCCCTTCCCTGATTCTCTTTGAGGAGGCCGGGGGCAGTTAACTCACTGTAGGGTGGGGGTGGGCTGCCAGTCCTGGCTCTAGGGCACGCCTCCTGGGGACAGCGAGCCCTCCCACCTCTGAAGGTGCGCGGCCGGCCAGCAGGAAGGGGTTAATGTGCTGAGCGTCCTCCTGTGTCCTGTTACTGCTGAGGCAGACCTGCCCGGCCAGCTGAACAACTTTCCTCTGGAGTGCTGCCTGCCGGCTGGGCGTCTAGAAGCAAGCGGGCCAAAGGCAGAGCTGCAGTCCATTGGGGGACCCTGCTGCCACCCTTCCGAGGGGTCTGCACCTCCTGGGAGAGGGTGGGTCTCCGGGACGAGGGTCGGCGGTGGATGGCTCTGGGGCCACTCCCGAGGCGGTGCTGTCCCCCCAGCTGGCAGGTCCGAGGGTCACTGCAGAGGCTGCTCGCGGTCCCAGGGCTGGGACCAGGGGAGCCTGCACCAGAGGTAAGCCGGCCCCTCCCTGGCAGCAGTGCTACCCTGCAGGGAAGGCTTGGGGCTGGGGCTGTGTCTCCCTCTGCGGCTCTTAGGAGAAGGGCGAGGAGAGCAGGGCTAAGAGGAGCCCAGAGGCTTTTTGCCAGCCCTGCCTCCCTCCCCACTGCCCCCTGGGAGGGGAAGAGGGTCGGGGGACTCACTCCCCAAGCTGAGACTAGCATCTCTGCTTGTAACAGAGTGGTCCCCAGGAAAGGGAGAGGTTCCTGGGGACCACCCTGTTACATGCTGACCTTCCCCAGACGGGCTCCTTACCCCTCCTCCTCTGCCCCTGGGGCACCGCTAACCTGGGGGCAGCCCCCACCCCACTCCGGGACCCTCAGGACATAGCAGCTAAGAGCCAGAGCTTACTCTCCCCTCTCCATCCGGGCAAGTGTTGGGTCACCTCCACCCTCCACCGCAGGACGTGATGGGGGCCAGGGGCTGGAGCCCACCGGAGCAGAGGGTGGGAAGAGGTGAGGGCTGGTGGGGACGGATGCAGACTTTCAGGCTGACTCTGGCACATGACTTGACATCAGGGTTCTTTCAGTCTCCCTGAACCTTCGTCCAGACGGTTCTCCCGCTTTGCAGCCCCTCCCCCTGTAAAGTTCTCCGGGAGCGCTAGGTAAGCCCGAGTGCTAACCGGAGCCCCCAGGCGGTCCCACCCCCTGCTGGCCCTGCTCCCAACCTCGCCCCCAGCCGGCCCCTCCCTTCTCAGCCCTCCCCTCCAGCCTCTGCCACCCTCCCCCATCTCTGACTTGGCCCCGGGGCCCTGCCCCCTCTGTGTCCTTCCCTCCACCTGACAGGGTCTGGCTCAAGGTCACTGCAGTAATTCCATACCCGGCTGCCTGGGCCGCCACCGCCGCCGCTACCGCCTTATCGGCTGCTGGGTTTCTGTTTCACTCCCTTTTATTTCTGGGCATATTGTGTTCGATAAAACCCTTTGCTTGTAACACTGCTGGCAGCGCTCCCAGCCGCTCCCTCCTGCGTTCCTTCCTTCCCTCCTCCCACCCCTGTGATCCCTCGTCTCACCCTGCCCCCTTCCTCCCTACCTTGTCCCCTCAAACTTCACGGAGGGAGGGCCCAGCACCTCCCTGGTGCTTCTGAATCCTCCCTTCCCACTCCGCAAAGTGTGCTGAGAAGGTTCCCCAGGCCCACCCTAGGGGGCCGCGGCGGGGCCCACTCTGAGGCCCCTCCCACTACCCCAGGCCTGGCCAGGGCCGGAGGGCTGGGGCTGCCAGGCCCAGGTAGGGCTCCAGGTGGAGCCGGGATGCTGGACTGGTTCTGCTGGTTTAGTGGCCAGCACTGGGAGGGGTGTGCATAGGGGGCGGGCTTCAGCGCACAATTATTTCTCATCTTGACTCCTGCCACCCGCCAGCCCACCAGTTGGGGAGGTAAAGACGGGTCTGAGTCACTGGTGAGGGGGAGGGCAGGCACTAAACAAGGGCTGGTCGTGGCATCCCCACAGAAGGCCTGCCACCGCTGGACAGAGAGGCAGCTGGCAGACAGCAGGTAGGTAGCGCTTTCAGCCAGCACTTCCATCTTCCCGCAGAGCTTTCCCAGGCACCTGGGCTCCATGAAAACTGCCAAAAGGCCTGCAGGCCACTTGGAACTGAGCTCAGGATTGGCAGGGCTGGGGTGGAGGGAGTGTGCGGCTGGGTGTGTATGGAAGGGTGAGGCAGGGCATATTCCTTCTGACTCCTGCAGGGGACAGAGCTGAGAGCTGCAGTCCCCTTGGGTGTGGGTTTCTTGGGGCTCATGGGTAAAGGAGAGGACTGCAGGCCCAGCAGCGTGTGTGTGCACACCCATGTCAGACAAAGGGTAGTGGCAGGGGGCTCTGGTTTTGTTGTCTGTCAGGGTCCTGAGAGGACCTGTCTCTTTTGGACCTGGGTTTGCTTTGAGCACATGGCCTGGCCTGGGTGGGGTGGGGGAGCAATGGGCTGGTCCTAATCCTTCCTCAGCTGAGGCATCAGATCTATTAGGGGTCCAGGGCCTTGCGAGTTTGGGAAACTCAGACTGGTCTTGCCTCCAGGGACCTTACATTCTGAGGAGAAGGTGGGACCAAACAGTAAAGCAATCAGACAAATTAATTACAAAACTGGTGACACTGACAGTAAGTATTCGGTTAGTCTTCTCGAGACTTGGGCGTTAGTACCATTCCCGCCACCTACACGCTGTGTGGCTGTAGGCGGCCGCATCTCCTCTCTGGGCTCAGTGCTCCCCCATGTACAATGGGGTGCTGGTGGTTAGGTCTCCCTGGAGACAGCCTTCCCCTGCTCTGCTTCCTCTCTTGCCTTCTGACCTAGCTGAGAGTATTGCTTCTGAGCTGCCTTTCTCACTCTGCTGGCTCATACTCATCACCCTTCCCTTTAGATCTGGGATCTTAACTCAGACATCACCGCCTCTGGGAGGCTGGCCCCGCCTTTCTTAACCTGGGTATTCCTGCACTCCTCTGCATTCCCAAGCTGGACGGTGACCGTCTGTCCCTTCTCAGTGGGATGTGGGTAGGTCAAGAAATTGTGCTCTGTGCCTGGCATAGTGCCTGCCTCAGAGAAGACCCTGAGAAATGGGTGTTGAATCAGTTAAGTTACAAAAATAACAATATGAGAAGAGAAGAAAGTGAGGACTGAGAAGTTGGAAGGGATAGGTCTGAGCTAGATTCAGACAGAAGAGGAGGAAGCCAAGCAGAAGGGAGGCAAGTAGGTATTCCTGGGGTTCATGTTCATATCCCTTCTTAAGCACAAGGACTGTGGGGTGTGTCTGCCTGGTTAATCCTGGCTCCGCATTTGCCAGCTCTGTGATCCTAATCAAGTCACTTAATCCCCCTTGGAACCTCACTGTCCCCATCCATGAATGGAGGTAGTAATAATTGTGTCTTTGGAGTGTGGTTGTGAAGATAGGGGAGCATGCAAAGCTAGCCCTGCTGGAGAACAAGTAAAATAAGAAAAATATAAACAAGTCCCTGCTGAAGGCTGATCCTGGCAGCGGGACACCTGCCCAGGCCTGGAGTGGCCAGCAAGGTGGACCCTTAGCCCTGAGTTCCAGACCTTCTCTTTCTCAGACCCATGTGGGACCCAAGGACGCAGCCGCCCTGCTGAGAGCACGGCGGCCCATCTTTGGAGACGGTGACCTCTCATCAGCAGCCCTCGGCCCTCCACCTCCAGCTGGGGTGGGGGCCACCCATCTGCGGGTCCCCGGCCATGACGACCTCCGCGCTGCGGCGCCAGGTGAAAAACATCGTACACAACTACTCCGAGGCGGAGATTAAGGTGCGCGAAGCCACCAGCAATGACCCGTGGGGCCCCCCCAGCTCGCTCATGTCAGAGATCGCCGACCTGACCTTCAACACGGTGGCCTTCGCCGAGGTCATGGGCATGCTGTGGCGGCGGCTCAACGACAGCGGCAAGAACTGGAGGCACGTGTACAAGGCGCTCACGCTGCTCGACTACCTGCTCAAGACGGGCTCGGAGCGCGTGGCCCACCAGTGCCGCGAGAACCTCTACACCATCCAGACGCTCAAGGACTTCCAGTACATCGACCGGGACGGCAAGGACCAGGGTGTCAACGTGCGCGAGAAGGTCAAGCAGGTGATGGCCCTGCTCAAGGACGAGGAGCGGCTCCGGCAGGAGCGGACCCACGCCCTCAAGACCAAAGAGCGCATGGCGCTGGAGGGCATGGCCATCAGCAGTGGGCAGCTGGGCTTCAGCCGCCGCCACGGTGACGACTACAGCCGCTCTCGGGGCTCCCCGTCCTCCTTCAACTGTGAGTGAGCCCCCGGGGTGTGTCTGGGGATAGGGAGGGGGCCTGAGCTCCAGTTCTGGCTGCGAGCTTGAGCCTGACCCGACCTCAAGGGAAGTCGTGAGGCTCAGGGAGATAAGGACCACGACACACGGGGCACTGCGCCAGCACACAGTAGGCACATGATACCTTAGCGGACACAGTCAAGGCATTACGCATTCATTACTATCATTAATTAGCTGTTGGGCCCAACGGCTGGGGGGAGAAGAAGCAGGGGCTCTGGGTTCCAGCCCAGTCCTCACTGCACCCGCCCCAGCTGTGTGATCTGAGCGGCCCTCTCTGATCCTCGGTTTCCTCATCTGTCAAGTGGAAGTTGTCTCACGTGTCTCAGCCAGCTGACGTGAGAATTAAATGAGACCAAGTCCAGGACTGCCCCCGGCCCTGCACCCAGGCCCATGGACATGGAGCTCCCTCGTGGGATTCCCCTTAGACCCCCCACTCGAGGGTACATCCCAGGAAAAGGGAGCCAATGACAAGCAGTTCTTGCCTTTCCTCCCCGAAGCAGTGATCTGAGAACTACAGTCACGCATGGCTTAAGGAGGGGTACATTCCAAGAAGTGAGTTGTTGGGTGACTTTGGCTTTGTGCAAACATCATGGAGGGGCGTTACAGTCTCTTGCAACGGTGAGTGAGTGGCCTGCTCACTATTAACCCAGGCCGCACGGTACAATCCTAATGCCATCATCATCATATCCACCCTCCCTTGTTGACAGAAGCGCCACAAAGCCATGTGTGACTGTACTCAGAAAGGGCCTCCTTTCATAAGGCCCTTGGTAGTATGCTGGGGGACTTGTGCAGCGTTAATGGTAGTATGAGGAGAAACTGTACAGAAAGTGCCAAGCACAAGGCCTGGCCCCTAGGGTCTCAACTTCCAGTTGTTCCTTCCCCCAGTTTTCCCCTCTGGGCCTTGGCTTCCTGGTTGTGTGTTGTGGGGTTGGGTGAGGGGGGAATGACCTGTGGGCAGCTGGGTGTTCACAGAAGCCATGATGGTTGTTGCAGCCTCCTCCTCATCCCCACGCTACACCTCTGACCTGGAGCAGGCGCGGCCCCAGACGTCAGGAGAGGAGGAGTTGCAGCTGCAGCTGGCCCTGGCCATGAGCCGGGAGGAGGCTGAGAAGGTGAGGCCCCAGGCTGAGCTGGGCTGGGCTGGACTGGGGAGGGGACTGCAGGAAGAAAGCGATACTGGATGCCCTGGAGCCTTTACTCTTGGGCTCTTCTGCCCCAGGCTCCAAAGCCCCAGTCCTGTGCACTGTGACAAGCTCAGGGCCTGTGCATGTCCATGGCTTGTCCTGGCAGGAACTTCCTCCTGGCCCCTGTCCTTTCTGGGTGAGGCTGGGAAGGCCCGTGAGCATGTAGTCGGTCGAGGGTACATGGCGCGTCTCACAGACCTGCTGCTGCCGTGTGGTGGTGATGGGAGACAGAGATATGTTGTCCCCAGTTCATCAGCTGTCCCTTGGCAGGTGCAGGGACAGCCCCCGATATCATCCTCTCTGCCATCACATCTGTCATCCAGGTAGACTGGGCAGGAAGAAGCTGGGCTTGGAGAGCACTCAGGGAACCTAAAAGAAAAGGATCAGTCTTGATTTTTAAACTGCACCTCGGATGCAGGCAGGGAGGCCACACCCACATTGCTGTCTGGGGGCAGGCTACCCGCACCCACTCAGAATGGGCATATCTCGCTCTCAGCTTCCTTACCCACACAGGGCCGTGTTGCCCCTCGGCCCCGAGTGGAAGCCCTGGGCCAAATTCACCCCTCTCTTCCTCCCTCACAGCCGGTCCCCCCAGCCTCCCACAGGGACGAGGACCTGCAGCTACAGCTGGCTCTGCGCCTGAGCCGGCAGGAGCACGAGAAGGTAGTGGGCTGAGCCTCCCGAGCTGGTGCTGGTGCTGGTGGAGGTGCTACGGGGCACTAACAGGCTCCTCCCGCATCACCTGTGGTCCTGCTGCTCTAACCTCTCGCCACCTCCCCCTACGCCCGCATCTTCTTGATGCCAGTCCAGGTCCCCGCAAGTCCAGGCTGGACTTCTCAGGCTCTCTAAACCCTGTGTCTTCTGCAGGAGGTGAGATCTTGGCGGGGAGATGACTCCCCCGTGGCCAATGGTGCTGGGGCCACAGTCCGCCGGCGGCAGGACAGAGAGTCCGAGAGAGAAGACGCTGAGGAGGAGAAGCTGAAAACCAGCCAGGTAGGAAGCCCACCTCATGGGCTGCATGAGGTGACAGCACTGGGAGGTGAATTGGGTTAGTATTTATAAAAGTGTAGACTAGTGCTTGGTCTAGAGGAAGCACTACCTAACCATTTACTCAATGGAAATGGGAGCAAAGGGTGTGTAGCAGCCCCCAGTCCCATACCACATGGGCTGGTGACTGAGCTGATGGCAGAGTGGGGTGCAAGGAATCTTGATCCCAACCCCCTGAATTTGCTGCCTTTTATTTTATAACTTGGGGCACATCGTTGTTGGGGCCTCAGTTTTCTCCTCTGTACAGTGGTCTTTTTAGACAGTCCCAGCTCTGCCGTTCTAGGGTTATATGATACTGTGGATTCAGGCATTGGGTGCTGAAAACATCATGGGCCCATATAGTCATGCACCCCCTAATGATATTTTGATCAGGGGTGGGCAGCCTATATACAGTGTTCCCTGTGCATAGCCTGGGGGTGTAGTAGGCAGTGGCACCTCGGTTTGTGTAAGTTTACACAACGTGATATTCACACAATGAAATCACCTAAGGGTGGACTCATAGCAATACAAGGGATGTGTGACTACACTTTCCAAGAGGAGGGGAAGGGGTAGCTGCTGGGAGCAAGGCCACCCTCCAAGCTGTCCTTGCTACTTCTGGGGGTTCTCTGCCCCCTTCCTGCCCATGTTCACTGTGGCCAGTTTCTCCTGGACATTGGCAAGGGAGAGACAGGCTCTTTATAAAATCTGACCTTTGTCGCTGATGGGCTGAGGAGCTGGACAGCTGAGGAAAGGCTCAGGCGGGCCTGGGTTCTTATCCCAGGTCTGCCTCTCCCTGACTGCATGATGTCAGGCAAATTGTTTCCCCTTTCTGGGCCTCGTTTGTAAAACGGGCACATCACTACCTGCCCTGCCTACCGCACATGGTTGTTATGAAAATTAGACACGAAACGGATGAGGAAGCATTTTATACACTGGAAAGCACTGTACAGAGGTGAGAGATCATTAATAGATGTTTGTGGAATGAACAGAGAGAACGAGCTGGTGTTTGGATGACAGGTCAGGGCCCACCCTTCCCCCGGGGCCCCACCCACCTCTGAGCCACAGCTATCTCCTCCCTCTACAGTCCTCCATCCTGGACTTGGCTGACATCTTCACACCTGCCCAGGCCCCGCCCTCCACACACTGCTCCGCTGACCCGTGGGACATCCCAGGTGGGCGTGCGGACTGCAAGAGGCCCCCGGGCTGGCCCCAAACAAGTCCCTTTCCCAACTCTTGCTAGTACCCCCTCCCGGTACTGAGGGGCCCTGGGCAAGTCACTCCCTGAGCCCCCTCTGTGACATGGCGACCTAGTGAGAAATTGGGAGCACCTCTGAAGCTCTTGGGAAACGCAGAAATGTTCTTTAGTTGTCTCTGATCATCCTGGCTTTCTTGCTCCAGTCCATCCCTGCCTGGGCCGGTGGTTGGAGTTGCCCATGCAACTGGACCATGGGGGTCCAGGTTCCTGGGGTAACTTGTTGAATGTAGGCTCCGGCTTACAGGGTGGTCCTGAGGCAGCATCCCATCTGTGAGAGGGGTCCCTTGGTGTCTAGGTAACTGGGAAGGGTGCTGGACTTGGGTGATGGTGGGCCTGCAGTGACTGTGCTGTCCCCATTTCAGGTCTCAAGCAGAACACAGAGCCCAGTGGCTCCTCCTGGGGGCCTTCTGCAGATCCCTGGTCTCCTGCTCCCTCAGGGAGTGCCTTGTCCCGAAGTCAGCCCTGGGACTTGCCTCCTACACTTTCTTCCTCTGAGCCCTGGGGCCGGACCCCAGTGTTGCCTGTTGGACTCCCTGTCACAGACCCCTGGGCACAGAACTCCCCCCACCATAAACTCAATGTTGGGGCGGACCCTTGGGGGCCCTCCATGGAGACCTCTAACACACCCGGTAAGTGGATGGCCAGAGAGTGTGGGTGAAGTACTGGAGGACCTCAGGGTCCCCCTCCCTCTAATGCCAAGGGGAGGGGGGGGCGGCATGTTCTGTATATTAAGAGGGGGTGCTTGCCTGGAAAGGGGTCAGACCAGTGTCTGACCTTTTTGTCAACCCATCTCATTTCCCTCTTCCTTGGCTAGCTCTAGGTGGTACCTCGGCCTTTGACCCATTTGTCAAACCTCCAGTATCCACAGAGAACAAGGAGGGGCTGGAGTGTGCACAGGCTCTGCCCTCTAAGAAGCCCAGCAGCCCTGTGGGTAAGCAGGAGGCAGAGATGATGCAACTCTGGGGAATGAGGGGCCACCCAGAGCTGGCCTCTGCCCTGTTCCTCCCACAGCTGTGACCAACTCCTCTCCCCACCAATGAACTCTATCGTGTCTATTGCAGAACTGGACTTGTTTGGAGACCCCGTCCCCAGCTCCAAACAGAATGGCACGAAGGAGCCAGATACCTTTGACCTGGGTGTAATAGGGGAAGTGCTACCCCAGCCCAGCAAGGAGGCCAGAGCTTGCCCGACTCCTGAGTCCTTCTTGGGTCCCTCAGCCTCTTCTCTGGTCAACCTTGATTCATTGGTCAAGGCCCCCCAAGCGGCAAAGACCCGGAACCCCTTCCTAACAGGTAGGCCAAACCCTCCTCGCTGCCACGTCTCAACACTGGGGAACCCGCTGGCTCGGCTCTTCCTCTCCGAGCCCAGCCTGCCCTGGACTCTTACTTCTTTATTCCTAAGACCCCAGAACTCGCTCCCTGGTCATGAAGGGCTATGTACCCCAGCCCGCTTCAAACCCTCCACACCTCTCATTCCACAGGCCTCAGCGCTCCATCTCCCACCAACCCGTTCGGCGGGGCCGAGCAGGGCAGGCCGACCCTCAACCAGATGCGCACGGGGTCGCCCGCGCTGGGCCTGGCGGCCAGCGGGCTGGTCGGCGCGCCTTTGGGCTCCATGACCTACAGCGCCTCCCTGCCGCTCCCGCTCAGCAGCGTGCCGGTCGGCGTGACCCTCCCCGCCTCGGTTAGCGTCTTCCCGCAGGCCGGGGCCTTCGCACCCGCGCCCGCGAGCCTGCCGCAGCCGCTGCTGCCCACGTCGGGCTCGGCCGGGGCCCCGAACCCGCCCCCGCAGGCCGGTACCAACCCCTTCCTCTGAGCCCCGCCCCTGGCCGGCCGGCGCACGCGCACGACGCCCCGCCCCGGCGCGCGCGGCCGCGGGGCCCCGCCCCCGGGAGACTCCGCCCCCGGGAGACTCCGCCCCCGAGACTCCGCCCCGCGGCCGGCGCGGTGCGCGTCCCTGGTCTCCGCAGACGCTTTGCAGCTCTTGGATTTAGAGACTGGCGACTTCTCAGGGGGCCGAGACCACGCCCCGGTAATAAAGACTGGAACCCACGTCCTCAGCTCTTAGCAAGTGGACTTTTTGCTGGACATGACGGCCGGGCCTCGACCACAGGCCAAACTACTGCTCCACAATGTGGGGCACCAAAGTGTTAGCATTTCCTGTGCAGCCTCCTCGGCCCGGCCCTTTCTCGCTTCCAGAAGTTGCCCAGGCTCTCGCTCCTCATTCCATCATGTCATTCATCACACATCTGCACTGGGGATGAGCTAATAGCAAGGAGCTACATGCAGTTAGTTGTTTCCGTTTACTGTGCACTCCTTATGTGCTGAGCACTAAGGCAGAGTTTGTTTAATCCTTGCGGCAGCCCTGTAAGGTAGATAATGTTAGTCCTGTTCAGGATGGGCTGCGTAATTTGTGGGGTCAAGTGCAAAATGAAAATGTAGTGCCCCTAGTTCAAAGTTGGGTTAAGGATTTTTAAGTGGGAGCAACAGAGCATGAAACCAAGTGCACAGTCCTTGGCCCCACTCCCTTACAGGTGAGGAAACAGGCTTAGGAGACAGTGGCATGTTCCAAGTCACAAAGCTGGCAGGAAGCAGGGCTGGAATTCAGACAGTCTGGCTCCGTTGCCCTGAGCTCCCAAGCTGGGCCTCAGATTTAATTGGCAAATATTGACTGACTGCTATGGATAAAGAACTGGGCTGGCCTGGGAGGGTTGCAGGAATTGCTAAGCCCACAGCTTTCAGGAGCTCAGAACTCAGTGCTGCAGGCAAGCCAGATGCAGTAGGCCCATGCACCTTTGTTTTTACTGAGTCACCTTAGATCTGGTCACCAGGGTCAGCAAGAAACTCAATTTCAGCCCTGCAGAGGGAGCCAGACCCCTCCTGGGGGCTTATTCAGGGTCTGAAAAACCAAGGGCAGAGTCAGGACCTGGTACCTCACCCAGGGGCCACAAATGGGTCACCTTCACTCAATGCTCTGGGATCACTGGACCCCAGGGCAGTGGTGTGTCCTCAGTACTCAGGGTCTGGCCCTGCAGACAGCCTGCTGCTGAGCGCCCCCCCCCCCTCTTTGGGGGCCCTGGGAGGAAACAGCCATAGGCCAGAAACACCAAAGCTGGGGGAAAAGACACACCACTGCTCTTTCCTAAAGTAGGGGTGGAGAAAGCTGCTCTGTTCTGGAGGCGAGAATCCCACCCATGTTGGTTGTTACCAGGCAAAATGGACAAGAGAACCTACCTAGGAGTCGGACCAACAGGGTCAAAACGCTGCTCCAAGGTTTGCACTTAATGATAATAATAATCACTTAGTAATAAGTGGTTATGCTTCCTGACCTCGAGTAAATTACTTAACCTCTCTTTGACTCTGTGCTTCTGTTTCCTTGTCAGATAGGAACAAGAATTCCTTCCTTATGAGATTGCTATGGGGCTCCTCTCAGGCCAGTGTCCATGTAGCCCAGGGTTGAGCCTTTTCAGAGACAATAAGGAAGGAGCCCATCACATCCTTTATTCCTGGTTTTCCCAGGCTGTCCCCAGAGCCCAGCCTCCATCTGTCTTTGGCCGCACAGACCGGGCAGGTCTCCATCCTTGGTCCCCGGCCATGCTGCACCCCTCTTCTATCTAAGCTCTCCTCCTCTTCTGTCCCTTGCAGATACTGCTTCCCCGAGGACTCCCAGGGTGCTGTTTTGATTTCCACAGGACGAGGTTAATAACCTTGCTCCCCATAACTACTTCCTCCCTTAAGACCCCACCTCCTGGGAGGTTGAAGCCACTGGGCTGTCCTACCTCTTCCCAGCCTGGGGCTGCTACTCCACCTCATTCTTGACATGCTCCAGTCTGGGCTCACAGCCTTCTTTTCCCCCAGATATTGCTCAACCCCATGTGACTCCATCAACCCAGAGGATGACCTTGCTGCCCCTGTAACCTCTCAACTGCCCTTGCCCATGGTCACACTTTGGGTTTGTAGTCACCCCAAATTCTTCCACATTCAAGAATGGCTTCCTGATCTCTGATTTTAACCTCATTCCTTGCAGGGAGCACCCACCAGACCCTCTGACCTGTCAATGTTCCATCACCAACCCCACCCTTCTCAGATCGTTCTTCTCACCTCCATTTCATCAGTTGCTCTCTTCAACCAAATCCTTCCCCTGGGTACCTGTCATAATTAGCTTCATCTATCTTAAAAGTCCTTCTCTCCACTCACATCAAATGCCCAGCCCATCTCTCTGCATCCCCTTTCTCTCCCCTCCCACAACCCGCTCAGGTCAGCTTCTGCTGCCAACCTTACCTCTCTGAATTCTGTCTGCCAAGCCCCACCAATGGCCTCCATGTTGCTGAAGGCAGTGGGCCCTTTTCTGTCTTATCCTAGTTGGCTTCTCTGAAGTCTAATCATGTGGACTCTCCTTGTAATCCAGTCCCTTTGCCTCTAGGGACAACACCCTCTCCAGCTTTCCCCTTGAACCGGCTGTTCCCGCTCCATGTTTTCATGGGTGCACCCCTCTGTGCCCCAGATCCGGGTCTGCTGTCTCCCTGCACGGTCCATACCCACACTGTCCTCACACTGAACACTCCAATTCCTACCAAACTCTCCTCTGCATTCCAGAGCTGTTGTCAAAGACACCTTGAACCAACACGTTCAAAAATGACCTCATGGGGGCCTCCCTGGTGGCCTAGCAGTTAAGTCTCAGGACCACAGCTATGACCCGAGTTCGATCCCCGGCCAGAGAGCTGACCCACATAGCACAGCAGACCTCTCCTGTCTGGCCCACTGCTCCTCTCAGCAGTGTGTTTCAGTAGATTCGCCTGTTCTGCTCCCCACTCTATCTAGGGTGAATCCTTTCACCTCCTGCACCGCTGGTCTACACCCCAGTTCTTCCACACAATAATAAATAATTTAAAAAATGAGGAAAAAAAAATGACCTCATGAGCCCCTTGTGCGTGCCTCTGTGTCCCTTCTCAGCAAATGGCACCACCATCCAGGAAGCCCATTCTGCAAATGGCTCTGGACAATTCTCTCCCACACCACCACCCCTGATGATCTCTTCAATATACACCTCATGTCTATCCCCTTCTGTCTCCACATCTCCACCTGTCACAGATCTCCACCAGCTCCCCCAGGTCCTGTCACGGCCTCTAATACTCCTGCTTCCATGCCTGCCCCTTTCTAGTGCCCTGACCCTGGGAAACTAGAGGGAACTTTGCAAACTGCAGTCACTCCCCTGACTAAAGCCCTCCAACAGCTTGCTTCTGCTCTCGGCACTCACCAGTCCTCCCATTCACAGTTCCCTCCAAGACCTGACCCCTGGCCGCCTCCCCAGCCTCATAACCTCATCTACTACCTCTGTCTCCTTTGCACTCCATCCTGCAACCACATTAGCTTCCACAGCCCCTCCACCCTGACTCACTGCTCTGCCACAGGGCCTTTGCACATCTGCTCCTGCTTTCCCAGCACTTCCTGCACACCCTCTCCAGATTCCATCCTCTCATTCTTCTATGGCTACTACACAAATGTGATTTTCTCAGGGAAGCCTTCCTCCACCTCCCCTTCCAGGCCAGTTTCCTTGTTATATCTCGTCATGCACTCCTCACCAGGAGTGACTGGGAATTTATTTGTGTGGCTGTAAGATTGACTTTTGCCTTCTTCGTCAGACTGTCAGCAGCCCAGGGCAGAAACCTGGTTTCTCTGCCCACTATGTATATGGCAGTATCGGACAGGCAAGGGCACTCAATAAAAACTGGGTGAATGTGCAAATGAGACCAATGTGTTAAATAATGCTAGGACATAAAGTTGGATCATCATTATTACTCAGTGAGGGCTTCCCGGACTGGGTGGAGTTTGAGCAGGGCTGAGAGATGGGAAGACGGAGCAAAGACAAAGCTCACGGGCTGCTGGGCTTGGACAAGCCCAGCCTTCCTCTCCTGCCTCATTTCTCACTTGTAAAATGGGCAAGGGTTGGACAAAATGGGCTGAGGCTCTGGTACTCCACGTTCCTGGCACCCTCACCACCCTTTGTGTTCTCATGAGCGTTATTCTCTCGCAGGCAGCTAGCATAGGATCAGGTCAATCTGCCCTATTTTCAGCACAGACCCAGGTCCTCCCAAGCCTGGGTTGGTCTGTCTGCAATCCCGAGCTCAACCACCGGGAGGCGCTCGGAGACCAGTCACGGGGCCGGGAGTCTAGGTGAAGCAAGGCTCAGGGCTCAGCCCGGTGGGTGCCTGGCCCTCCTCCCACCAGGCAGCCTCTCACACCACCCTTCCTTTCTGATGGGGGCGTTTGGGGCCATGGCCTGGAGCAGCCATGCTGGGTGCCTAGCTGTACGGGGGGGCTCCTGACACCCCGCCCAGCCTTGGGCCTCATAACCAACCACAGGTACTAATGGCCGAGGACCACTATGGCAATACTGTGATTCTACGGGGGTGCCAGGGTCGATGCCTAGTGCCAGATCAGCCACCCCCTCATGGCTGCCCACCACCCCGAGTCTGCGCCCATGACCAGGCCTTTGTACAACCTCCTCCCTTCTAGCAGCAGGGCCAGTTCCCCAGGCACTCTGTTCTGACACTGCCTCCTGGAAGCCTTCCTTGAATCTAAATGCTGGGCCAACAAGCGTCCTTATTCAGCAGCATCTTAGGCTGACCCTGCTATGTTCCCTTTTGCTGCAGGACCTTGCCATCCCCCTGGGCTGAGCCCCTGAGATCAGGCCGTTTCTGACACCCTGGGAATCCAGGGGTGCAACACAGGACCTGGCCCTGTACCCACTGGGTGGATGTTGAGTGAGGGTGTCCCCTGGGTCAATTTCCTCTCACCGCCCCTCACTTTGCCCTG